GACACTGCAGGACAGCTGCTGAGGGGCCTGTGCATTCAGCCTGCCCCTGCTCCTGCTCCTGAACACAGAGCCAGGGAGTGACACCCCTGCATGGCAGCACTGGTGGCTCCAGGCAGTGGAGGGCAGGTCTGAAATTAGGTGCTGTATCTAGAGCAAAGGATGAAAATGTCCAGAGTCCAGCCTTCCCCAGCCTCAGGGGCCTGAAGCTCGTGCCACTTCCCAGGCAGCAAAGTATCCCCAACCCCATCCGTGAGGGAAGGAGGTAAGTACTGCTACTGCCTTCTTTCGGGGCGGGGGGAAATGAGCCTCAGCCATTGCCACAGAGGCTGTCAGTGGTGCTAGAAGACCCCAGCAGTTGTGGAAGTCAAGGGAGCCAAGGGGAGAATGAAAAGGAAGTCAGGCCCTAAGCAGGCAGGCCCAGAGCCCTGCTTTAGCACCAGCCCTGCTCCCAGTAGCTGGGATACTACAACTGGTGTCCCCCTTGCCGTTGTGAAGAGTGAGCTCCCACCCAAGCAGAGCAAAGCTCTCTCCTGCACATGGGACAGGACAGTGGGAAGCAGAGGACAATTTCCCTCCAGTCAAAGGGTCCATATGAATTCTGAACAGGCAGGTCTGCTCTCCCCCATAAAAAAATCAATAATCCAAATGTAGCAAAGATGAGACCATGACAGCTGTGGTTTATGTAGGGCCTACAGCGGGTGGCCAGGCTCTGCAAGTCTCGCCAACCCCCATCCATCACTCCTCAGTGATCAGGAGCCAGAGATGGTAACAATTAGAAGGACTGCTTTCATTGTCCAGGAGCAGCCCTGTCAGTTGGCTCTTTTGAAAACAGGAGGAGGAAAAGCCAACAATGCTGCAGTGGGAAACGGGCGTATTGTACAGGGGAAAAATGTTTTTTTTCTAAATGGGTTTCAGCCACAATGGAAAAGAGAGGCTCAGAGCTGGAAAGACTCAGAGGTGGAAAGACTCAGAGGTGGAAAGACTCAGAGGTGGAAAGCCAGCACAGAGAGGAGCCGAGTGCCCAGAGTGAAGGTATGCTCAGGGTGACAGAACACCCCCTGGAGATGGATTAACACAACCAGTGTTTTCTTGCTGATAACCCGGAAAATGCTCCTTGCCTAGTTGTGCTAGGAAGGAGCCATGGAAGACAGAACCGACCCGGTCAGCTCGGAGGCAGGGCAGGAAGGCAACCCTGGCTCAGACCTGAAGCTGGGGGCTGCACAGTGCCCACGTGCACAGACAAGCATACACGTAAGGCACGCAGGGCACCTACCTTAATGGTTTTGTCCGAAGAGCCACTGAAAAGCAAGTCTCCAATGGAGTAAACGCACAGACACCACACGGGGCCCTGGTGTCCCACAAAAGTGCCCTTGCACTTGAAGATCTGCTGAGGATCGTAGGCTGTGGGATGAGAAGAGGCAGGGTGGGGTTAGGGAACCATGAGGCACCGTGGAGGAGCAAGGCTCTACCAGACCTGAAGACTGACCTGGTGCTCTAAGACCTGGAGTTACATCTGGCAGGCACCACTGGATGGTGGAGTATCACAGGCCCTTGTATTTTACCCAGCTCCCCCCTGTGCGAGTCCCAATAACTTGCCCTAGCTAAAGCCTTTCTTCCCGAAAGGCACCTGGGCTGGATCTAGAGACACAGCAATGGAGAAATCCCTGCCCCGCCTTAGCCGCACGTAGCAGGGCTGAATCACCCCGGCTGTTACAAACGTGCAATCATCTCCATGCCATTTGCCTGGCCGCCCCTTTCAGCCCCCGGGCCAACTTGCCCTTTCTCCTCTAGGTTACAAAGCCCTGTTGCACCACTGTCACCCCAGGCTCTGATGTGGTCTCACAGTCTTGTAAGATGAGCAGGGCGAGCTCTTGAAGCATCTTGCTCTCCCCTCCCAGCCCTCTCATCCTCTGTGGTCTCTCCTGCACCCCCGCAGTCTTTTGGAGATGGATGCTGGTGCAGCCTGTGGCTCTGTCGGGGTTCACCCGCCAGGAGCACAGCATGGCAGACCCTCTGCGAGTCACTGGCTACTCTCTGCACCCAACCCCTTGCTACAGCATCTGCCGTGGAGTCCCAAGGCCAGGCCTAGCGGCAGGGGGAGAAAAGGGCAGGCACATACTCACAGCCCAGGATCCCCATGTTGAGCCGAGCGTTGATGTGTGAGAGCTCGTCCTGGAAGACAAACCACATGCATTAGAAGGGAGAGGGTCTCTTCTCGGCTACCCCAGTCCCGCTGCTGTCACATACCCCCTTCAAACTCTTCAGCCTCCAGGCAGCGTTCTCCCGGCCCAGGGCAGGGCAGAGCTTCCTGTTAGTGCTCAGCCTTGGGCACCTTCTCCGGGAAGAAGGTCACAGGAAGCAAGGGGGTCCCTGATCAGGGCTGACCACATGGGTGTCTTCAGGGCAGAACCTCTACCAGCTTAGTGGGGTCCACGTCAGGGTGGAAACACCTCCCACAAGGCAGCCTCCTTTCCCTCCCATTTGCAGGGTCCCAACAGCAAGCACCGGGTAGAGGAGCTACTGCACCCTGGGGAGTTTGAGCATTCAAACCCAACCATGCCTGAAAACTCTGGCCCACCCCCAGGCCCAGTGCCCCTAGCACTCCCCAGACCAGCTGCGGAGGAGCTGAGCAGCAGCCATCTGAAGCCACTGGAATGGCTTAGCAAAGGCAGATAGCTGGTGGCATCCTCCACCCAACGCTAGATGCCAGCTGTACCCCGAAGCCCCGTGTGTTTTGTGCACCCTGGAGCCCAACCTGGGTGCAGCCAGTCACACTGGGGTGGGATAGAGCAGATGAGAACAGGTCTTGCTCTGCTGAACCCTGGTGACTGCCCAGCACAGCCGGCGGTTAGCCCTTCTTTCCCCTGCCCCGCTGGATCAGCACGGTTAGCCCAGCAGCCAGCTCACATTTAGCATGGAGGCATCCCTGCGGAACTCCATCAGGTCCTCGCTCAGCTTGCTCTGGTTCTCATCCAGCACATCTAGGGCAACAAAGGCAGGCCAGTCACTCCCAAGATTGCCAAGCCAGGACATGCGCTATCCTGGGACATGGGTGTTGACTAGGGATGGCCCCTTTAAACAAGGAAGGCAGAAGAGCTCAGGCAGTCCAGAAAACCCCCTCCCAAAGATGTCTCTGACCTCCAGGGGTCTGCCCAGCCCTGGCTGTGAATGCAGGAGCAATGGGGAATTAAAACCCCCCACCGGAGCTGCCAGCGTGCCCCCAGGGCTTGACAAGGGGCCCGAAGCCTGCCTGGGAGACTCACCAAACTTCAGCTCGAGGTTTTTCTCCAGCTGGTCGATCTTCTCTGAGAGCTTGCCCAGCATGGAGCGCAAGAAGGCGATCTCTTGGTCCTTTTGCGCCATAGCCACCTGCATCTCGTGGAAGCGGTCATCTGTCTGCTGCAGGAACTCCTTCAGGCCCTCAAACTTGCACATCTCCAGGTGCGTCTCGTACGTGTCTTGGTTCCCAATGAATGTGCACCTGGAGGGAGGGGATGAGAGGTGCAGGCTGCAGCAGGGCTGCGCTGGGGTGTGAGGCGCAGGATGCGGGGGGAGGGAGATATACTGCTTTTCTGGCTTCAGAACGGAGGGGAGCTTAGAATAATTGGGATCCCTTGAGCCCCCCACGTCACTCCCCTTTGTCTGTAGGGAGCGAGGACACTACGTGTGGCCCAGCACTTCCACTATGGGCAGTGACTCCCTCATCACACACAAAAGGCCCCCCGTATATACAGGATGAGGCTGCGTCTGTCCCTGATGGTGTGCTGGCCCAGCAATGACCCTCCTGTCCAGGAAGGTATGAGAACAAGCAGCACTCCAGCAGGATTTGGAGGCTGATGGCTCTATGGGTGCTTAGTAAAGGTCCATCCGATGGCTGGGAGAGCTGGCAGGAAAGCTCCAGCTCCCTCAGGGAGCATGGGCTTGGGCTGTTCATCTGGCACCCCAGCTCCTGGCAAGCCATGTCCGTAGACTCCAGGACACAGACACCGTGGGCTTGAGCTACAGTTGCATAGATGCCCCTGTCGCCCAGGTACGAACCCTCCCTCCGTGGATTTGGGCAGATCTGTCATAGCCCTGGCCCCCCTCAGCTGGTTCTTAGGGCCAGGCTGGATGGCACCCAAACAGGCTAGGCTCTCTCATCAAGGAGTACAATGCACTGCCTTTCCCTGCCCTCACAAGCAAGGCCAGGCACCTGGTTTGCTCTCAGGCCCCTACCTGCACTGGAAAGAGATGCCAGGAGTTCACAGAGCTGGAGTAAGCACCCCCGCAAAGGCCAGCCTGGAATGGTGTGCAACTTGCCCCTCATGCCAGGATCTGGGCCCCCTTCCCCAGTCCCGCTCAGCTCACCCTGGGCGCAGCTCACCCATATTTGGAGTGAGGACACTTGATGTGCTCGCACTCCTTGAGATGTGCCTCCAGGTTCATTTTCAGGAGAGGCGGGCAGCTGGGGTTATTGGGGCATCGCACTGGCCTGTAGTCACAGCTGCTTTCGTGATCTCTGTGCAAGCAAGGAGAGGCAAAAAGAGGGCATATCACCAGCAGGGAGAGAGAGCTGGAAACCACGTGGTTTAGCAGGATACAGTGCAAACCGGTCCTTCAGAGATCTCCAGGTAGTTGAAATTCTCTAGAAAGCTGCCTGCCCACTTGGATTTAGCCGACTAGGTCTGAACAAATGTGGAGAGCACCAGCTTCTCCAATGGATGGTCTAGGTCCGGATGCACACAAGTGACACGGCAGCTACAAGCACTGCACAGTGGTTTAGGACAGTAAGTGAAGGGCGCTGTAACATGGGGGTGAGGGGAGCACCTGGCTAAGACAGTGTTTAAAATGCCCCTTCTCCCGTGAGGACCACACTGGGCCAGCTGTGACTCAGGCGGCACCTCCCTCGTCCGAGGCTTGCACTGAGACCCAGGTGAGGAGAGAGCACCCCACAAAGGCACAAGACATCCCTGTGGCCATGTTACCAGAGCATCGCGGTTGCAAGGAGCCACATGTTACAAACACACGAGCAACAGGCTGGCAACGGAGCCCTCCCCTCCCCAACAAGTCCGTGCGCTGGTATTACGGCACTTACTTCCTGGCACTCAGTTTAATTGTAAACGGGCATCCGCGGGGGTCCACCTCGAAGGCGGCGGGCTTGCTGCTGGCAGCGGGCCGGCAGCCATATTTGCAGTGGATGAACAGCTCCCCGATCTGCTCGGCCACAGCAATGTTGTTCACGACCACCGTCAGTTTGGCATTGTCCACAGGGCACTTCTCTGTGGGGCAGAGAGAGGGCAGGGAAGAGAGGGACCAGAACTAACTAAGGCACTGAGAGGACTGAGTAGGAGCAGGGCTGGATCTGTGCTGCCCACTGCTCTGCCCCACCTCCATCTGATATGCCCAGGCCAACAAGCCGGGGGGGCGCACCTCCCTTACTTTGGGCATCCAGTTTTGAACGGGCTGAGAGCTGTAAACCAGCTCTGGTTAAGAGCAAGCAGAGACGCTCCGCTGCACGCTGCTCTGGTGCCTTGGACGGGAGCTGGGAGTTACTCTGCTCCTTGGGGAACCTTCCCAGGTATGAGATGTGAAGTGCAGCAGTAAGAACAGCTGGGCTTCATGCCAGAACAACGGCTCTCAGTGCAGGTTGCAGCCAAAGAGCATTTCTAGCAGCAGGGAGTGCCAGGCTGGGAATGAAGTCTCCACAGATGAACAGGGAGCTAAACAAAGCATACTGAGAGCAAGTGGCCATACCAAGGGGAGCTCCCAGATGGACTCCTGATCCGTGGATGGGACCCAACAAAATGCCCAGTGGAGAGGAGGCAGTGAGGATGCCCCTGTGCAGGGATGCAGACAGCACTGGCCTGCCACCCATGGGAATCACCTGCTGTCCTGGGAGTCATCAACTCCACAGCCCTGGGCTGCTGAACGGCCACAGAGAATCCACTGCAGGCTTTATGCTGAGCCTGGGGCACATGGTGATGGGACCTGAAGCTGAGCAAGTGCTGCGCATAGTCAGGTGGAGCTCATGGGCAGGCCAAGAGCCTGGGATAAGGAGCTATCGGTGGTCGGGGATGCACTGGGTCCCTGGGGCCAAACCTGGGGGGCTCATTCTAGTACCCAGCCATTTATCTGCACATGCTGCAGTTTTGCAAGAGGAGGCAGCGAAGAGAGTGTTAAGTGAAAGGCTCAGAGAAGTGGCAGGGAGAAGGGGTGGTGGCTCTGTACCTACCAGATGTTAAGGCACATCTTCTGCAAAACGTGTGCTGTGGAGACAAAGAGAAACATGACTGTTAGACCCCCCCATGTCGGACACACAACCCCCAGGGGAGGGAGGGAGGTGGTCAGAGACCTGGCCCCTGGGAGTGCAGGACTCTGCCTACTCCATGCCCTGCACCCCAGCACAGCCCTGGGGCCACACGGACGACCTGTGCTGGGTGGAAAGCAGCATGAAGCTGACCATGCAGCCTGATCCTGAGAGGTACCGAGTGCCTGCACGGAAACCATTGGATCTGCACATGCCCTGCGCTGCTCAGGGTACGGGGCCAAGGGCACATTCTGTTGGGCTCTGATTTTTCTAGTCCTGACAAACTTCCTGGGCTCCCCCCACTTCGTAATGCAGAATTTACTGGAACAATCCATAAAATAGACACTGAAGGTGAAACAACGCCGCTCACAGATACTCCCCCTTGGACTGGGCAACCTGGCAAGCTGGTCTGCTGGCTTGCACCCCTCCTTCACCCCTTGACCTTTGTCCAAAATCCAGCTGTGCTGCCAGGAGGATGGAAACCAGCCCTGTTAAACACACCCTAAGTGACTAGTGGGAGACCCAGCATCAGCACTTCTCCCTTAACAATGGGAAGGCACAGGAGGGATTTAAGTAAACCAGTGCCAGCCCAGCCTGGTGCACTGATGTAAAGCAAGGAGAACGAGCGATGTTGTGCTTCGCTGGCTCTCACTTGCTTGGGGGGGGCCCTCTGGAGTCTGTTCAGCTGGGGCCCCTGGGAGCAGGGTCAGAGCTTGGCTTCAAAGCTGGAGAGTTTGCAAGGCATTATTAGAGCCGTTCATTATCTGCAGCTCCGCTGCTGCCTCCCCTTCCTGCCCTGCACAGCTGCTGGCTGCTCTCTCTGGAGCTGCCAAACAAGGGCTGCAAATGAAACAGTCTGTTTCCTGCTCCAGATTCTTTTTCCGTATTACCCAGTGAATCTCAGGCACCCTCCGAGATCGCTCGCTCTGAAGTGCTGTGGGTAATGCGGGCACAGAGGGGCTGGCTGGAAGGGAGCCAGCACTGACTATGGAGGGAGGTCAACCTACTCTGTGCCTCCATAGCTCTCGCTCTGTTCTGGGACCCCCAGTCCTCCCCTAGCATTCAGGGCTCAAATGCTCCAGCCAAGGGGCTGTATTTTCTGTCTGTGCTGCATGAGCTGGGGTAACAAATGGCCTCCATTCAAGTAATAATAACACAAATATTATTTATGTGCTTAATAACCTGGCACAATGTACAGTGCCTCTCAGCAGAGGTTCTTGCAGCCCCTTACGAGCCTTGCCTGTGCTAAGCCTCACATGCCCTTGTGCTGTCAGAATATTTTATTACTGAAAAGCAGCCATCTCTGGGGTGCAGCTTAATGGCCATTTATCCGAGTACAAACAGGCTACACAGCAGCGCTGCTCCGGACAGGAGGTGAAGCATCACAGACCCAGTGGAGGTGATGGGAGGGATTTTACAAGGGGAGGCCAGGGTTCAGTTAACCATACCCCTCTCCCATGAAAGCACCACAGGTCTTTTAACTGCCACCTATAACCTCTGACAGGGCACAGGCATTCACTGGGGCATGGGTTTGGGGCCATCTCACATGGGACGATGCTACTTCGTCATCACCAGTTTTCTCACAGTACCCTGTGATTTCCCTGGGTTGCTGCCCAAGCCCTGACCCAGCTTGGATCGCTCGACCTGACAGCCCCACATTGGGGTGGGAAGGGGTGGGATGGCTGCAGGTGACATGTGTTCCTGGGAAACCCACACGAGCGACATGGAGCGAGACCGCCTTACCCCACACGTCGTGATGACTGGGTCTTTGAATACACTGCAGCACAGCTGGCAGCAAAGCTTCACCGACGGCTGCTCAGCAAACACCAAGGGCTCCTGGACAGGTGGAGAGGAGGAGACGGGGAGAGCGCACATGTGAAACCGGGGCTTCTGCCTGGCAAGGGTGCAACAGCTCGGCAGCAGTGCAGGGAGCATGGGGCAAGGTGTGAGCATACCCACGATGGATTAACCATCCCAGGGCTGTGATGCTACATGATAGCAATGCTGCCATGGGGCTAGCAAAGACACAGGGGACACAAAGGTTCCTTGCAGAGAGCCAGGACCATGAGAACACGCCGGGACCTCTAACGGCTCCAGATAAATTGCCCACTTCTGGTGAGGTGGGACTCCGCCAGGGAATGGGTGAGGCCCTGAGCTATGGCTCTGTTCACTGGCTCCTGGAGCTGCTTGGCACCTGGCAGGACAGGGCTCTGGAGCACAAACTAAACAGGCTGACTTCTCTGCGGCGTAACGTGCCGGAGTCAGGTGAGTATGCACCAGCTGAGAAGCTGGCTCCAGTGCTATACAGCCAGGCAGGAGCACCTGGCTGCATTGCAGCCATGCTGAAGCAGCGAGGGGTAACTTGCATCTAGCATCCAGAAGCCCAGCACAACTGACAGTAGGACACTTTCTATCCCTGTTTCCAAATTCTGCAGGAAAGGGCTTGGCTTCTGCTGGGAGCCCCCAGCTCCACACTAGGTCACGGGCTCAGGCCAAGCTCCTCGAGTGTCTGCGGCACACCTGGGCAGTGCTGCACAGGAGAGGACTCAGCGCTGGGAGATGCTCCACACTGGGCACCTCGGAGTCAGCATATCTACTGTTCTACAGGGCGCCAGCAGCAGCTCCAACCCCAAAAGTGGTACTGTGGGGTCACAAGAGGTTCCGCTTTCCCCAAACCCAGATTGCAAGTGCCTTGGCCCTGGAGGAATTTAACATGGGCCCGTTCCCCACCTCTAGTTAACACCTGCAAGAAGGCAGCCCTGGTGCTTCTCCAGACTGCATGTGGATGGATGCCTGCAGCTGCAGTGGAGTGCCAGGCAGACCAAACAGCAGCGATGGACATGGGCACCTGCAGGCTAAGAGAAATCCACCCCAAACCCCTCTCTGGTGCCTTTCATCTTGGATGCTCTCCTGCAAGGCATGCTGGCATCATTCCCTGCCCTCTGGAGAGCTGGGCAGCCTGGAGACTTGCCTAAGGATGAGCTGGGGGCTGAGCTGGGATAAGAGCACTGAAGTCCTGCCTCCTAGGAACCTGGCAGTGTGGACAGACAGCACTCCCTAAAGCAGAGAAGCACATCGCATCAAAGATGCGGGCATGCTTCGCATTGTGGCTCCTGACACGGACCTCCCCAGGCTCCCAGCATCCTCACTTTGTTCCCTCAGGTGCCCCCCCAAATACCTACTGGCTCCTCCTCTTCCTCGTGCAGCGAGAACGTCGAGCGCAAGGACATGTTGGACTCGGAGTGCAGCGAGCGAACAGAGATCGCCGAGTCAGACTGCCGGGAGGTGCCAATCGGAGGCTTTGAAGGGAACAAAAACAGCCCCAGTTACAACCAGTGGCCCCAAACTCCTGAACGTGGCACAGGGAGCTCCCCCCTCCAAGCAGCTGTGTCGTGGTGAGGGCCCAAGCATCCCACAGGCTGGACAACCTGGCCTGGTCATCTCGCCTGGACTTGACTGCAATGTCATGACCCCCACACGGGCGTGTTGTGCTGCTCCAGTGCAGAGCAGCTATGGGGGATGCACCCCATTAAGCTGTCCCCCCTTGATAACTCTCCTTGGGGTCCATCTTTCCAGATACTTACAGTGCCTCCTTGCAAAGCAAGGGCTTGGGAGAACTATTCCTTTGCAGAAACCTCAGTAAATCTCCCCCTGAGACAGCTGCAGCCCGGCAGTTTCTAGAATCCCTGCACTCGCACTTGTTGTTTCGCTTGCTATCTAACTTCTGCCAAATGTCTTTGCGTAAATGTGCAGACTTCCTCCTATTCAATTCAGTCACAGCCTCACTTGTCGCTTCCTGTTTGGGAGGGGAGAACGAAGCAGCCACTGCACGCACCAATCAAGACGGTCACCCCGGCTGCAGGTTCTTTGGGATTGGCTTTGCAGAGGATGTTGCCACTGGAATATTAACCATCAGTGCATCTCTCAGGGTGCCCGACTCAGCAGTAGAGCAACAATGGAGAAGGCTTTCCAGAGCCAGGGGGAGGGGAATGTGATAGACACAGAACAGCCCGTAGTGTGGGCACCGCACCTTGGTACCAGAGGGACATGGGCAAACTGGGAAGAGTTTGAAGGGAAGCAGCCACCCCCTTGGGGAGCAGGAGGCCAACAGAGCCCAAGCAGGGACAACGTACAGGTTAGCCCTGCAAACGCCTGGCCCATGGGGCTCTGCTCCTGTGCCTAACCCCATGAAAGCCAGCAGGACTCCACACGTACAGGTCTGCAAGAGCCAGCCCAAGGGCCAGGGGGAAATGGGTCACCTGGGCCCCTGAAGCAGGAGCCAACACAGGCTGAATGTCACAAGTAGCATCCTAACAGCTGTCGGGAGCCATCCCCAAGGGACATGGGGGGAGCCCGGCTGCTTTGGGGTGCTGAAACGAAAGCAGACAAACTGCTGGAGCATGTCCTGCAGGGGAAGGAGCCTTCCCCGTAGGGCCCAGGAGATGGGGCCCCGATGGGTTTGCGCAGCTTTGCTGGCCACTGCCGTATGCTGCTGAGAGTCAAGCATCTTAGCACAAATGCACTTGCTTATAAGCCAGAGTGTATAATAATAATGAGATTACGGTTCTAAACCTGGGCTGAAGGGTTACAATGGACGAAATCAGCTTTACGTGTTTATCCAGGAATTTCTGTTGCCAGTGGGGAAAGTGATAATAGCCATGAGTTATTAGAGCTCCACGGATGCCTGCAGCAGATCTCCACTGTGGGGGTGACGGGGGCACAGCATCATTGCTGGGAGGACGCTGTGGGGGTCAGAGCTGTGAGCAGCAATAACCCATGGGCACCGGAGGCTTCGAGCAGCAGGGCCAGGACAAACTGGTTCATACTGGAGGGAGGGCAGGTGCGTCAGGTTATTTAGGGAGGTGAATCAAACTCTGCTAGTAGAACAGGCCAGACCGCCACATTCTGGCTGGCTGGAAATTACCACCTGGCTGCTGTGATTGTAGGGCTAATGGAAACCAGAGGCCTGTGGACGTTTGTGGACCCTCACACTGGTGCGCCTGCATGAAAGCACCAAAGCAGGAGGTCCCAGCAGCCGGCACTGCCCCAGGACAAGGTGGTAGCTGGGCTGCGTTGTCAGCTAGACTACACCCGCTAAGGCTTAGACTGCGAGATCCTTGGGGCAGGGACTGTTACCCATTGTGTGTGTCCAGTGCCTCTCACCAGGGTCCGAGCCCCAGGTGGGACCTTCACACTCTGCCACAGGACAGAAAAGTGACCAAAGGCCCAGCAAGCTGCAGTAACTGCCTGTCACACGCAGTCCGGCTTCCTGCAGCACAAGGATTTGGATGCTCAGCTCCAGTGCTGCTGCTGCTCTGTGGTCAGAAGCCCCATCTAGAGGCACGAGCAGGAAAATGCTGCCTGGAAAGCAGTTCCTAGTCCAAGTTGCACTGCCAGGGTTGCAGAGCCTGGCTAGGGCCCACAGGTCTCAAGCTGTTCCCAAACCAGCCTTGCCCTCCACTCTGTTCTCCCTCCAGAGGAGGAGGGATGGACTCGGGGCCAAGCGCTCACATGGCATAGGTCAGCACATTAGTTCGGGGTCTGCGGAAGCATCTGGCAGGTGACATTTTTACTCCCAAGTCTCAAAGATCAGGCCCCTTGCTTCTGCAGCTACAACTGCATTCTGGAGTCCTGTGCATGACCTCAGCCCCCGGTGAGGAGCTTAGTGCAAACAGCTCATACCTGCCAGCACCTGGGGCCTAGACTCTGCCCACAAAACAAGGAGAGCAAGGCCCAGCTTGTAGGTCTCTAACCCATGCAAAGCCCAAGCAGGGGCTGCCTTGTAGGCCAGAGACCAGTCCTGCCAGGCTCTCTCAGAGGGGACAGTCAGGTGTCAGCACTCCCGCACTACCCCCTTCTCTCCGTGACACCCTGCAAACACAGTGGGAAAGGCTGCTGGAGCGGTGTACATACCATGCCATCGTCCTCATCCCGGGGCGAATAGGTGAGGGTGCTGGACGACGATGGTGTCCGGCGGTGCTGCTTGAAGGTGTTGGCTCCATCCGCTGGAAAGCCAGAGATGCAGTTAAGAGCCCAGCAGCTCCCCAGCACATCATGTCTTTGTCATCAGGGTGCTGGCAACAGCCAGGATAAAGGGAGAGGAACAGGGATTTCTCTGCTCCGCTGACTGCCCTGGAAGCCCCAGGGAGAGCACAGCAATCACACACAACAGCCACATGTGGCTTTGTAGAGACAGCTGGGTGAGGAGTAAGTGAAATGGCTGTTTTGCCATTTAGAATAATACTAAAAGGAAGCCTTTGGCAGCCCTGATCTCCCATTTAAACAGTTTCCCTCGGGGAAGCCTGGCTATTCCTTGCACCTGAACAGTTGCTAGAACTACAGGCTGGGGAACTCCCTTCTCATCAGTGCAGAGACAGAAAAGCATCTTGGAGTCGTCACTGATGCCAAGATGAACATGGGCCAGCAGTGTGAGGATGCGGTCAGGAAGGCCAACTGTACCTTGTCATGCATCCACAGATGCATCTCGAGCAGGTCCAAGGAGGTGATCCTCCCCCTCTATGCGGCACTGGTCAGGCCGCAGCTGGAGTACTGCGTCCAGTTCTGGGTGCCGCACTTTAGGGGGGATGTGGACAGCATGGAGAGGGTCCAGAGGCCACTCGCATGGTCAGGGGGCAGCAGGGCAGGCCCTATGAGGAGAGGCTACGGGACCTGAACCTGTTCAGCCTCCACAAGAGAAGGCTGAGGGGGATCTCGTGGCCTGTTACAAACTAGTCAGGGGGGACCAGCAGGCACTGGGGAAGTCCCTGTTCCCCCGAGCACTGCCAGGAGTGACCAGGAATAACGGTCACAAGCTGGCAGAGGGGAGATTCAGGCTAGACATCAGGAGATGCGACTTCACAGTGAGGGCGGCTAGGATCTGGAACCAACTTCCAAGAGAAGTGGTGCTGGCTCCTACCCTGGGGAGCTTTAAGAGGAGGCTAGATGTACACCTTGCTGGGGTCGTTTGACCCCAGTACTCTTTCCTGCCATGGCAGGGGTCGGAGTCAATAATCTGCTCAGGTCCCTTCCGACCCGACCAACTATGAAACTGAGTCAGAGATGAAGCGCGACCGTCCGAGAACTGACTGGCATCTGGTCTACATGCATGACTACCCCTGAAGCTGGTACTGGTAAGTGTAACTGCAACTCTGCCCCCCGAAGGTTTGCTTTCCAGGACATGGGCTGATCACACTTCCAACGGCAGTGGGGGCCAACCTTTTGGCAGGCATGCCACAAATTAGCTTTGTAGCTTGAGTGCCACTCTGATCCCTTTCTCTTACCTGATCTGCTGCTCAGTTTTCTGCTCCCTAACCAAGCTGCTGCTCTGCCTTTTGCTCCACACCCTATCTGCCACATGCCAGACACAGAGGCTGCCTGTGCCATTTTCAGATGCAGCAGGCGCTCTTCTTTGCTGAATCAAAAGCACCTTTAGCAAACCAGGCAAAGCCTGAATTAACCTTGCTAATGACACATGCCCAGGTCAAACACCTTCCCATGGGTCACAGCCCTGTCGGCCTGGTGTTTTAAGTCAACAAAAAACAAGGACTTTTTGTAAAAGGGAAGGGGTGTTTCCCACCTCCCCTGCCCAGTCAGGTTTAGCAAAGGGTTTTGATTTAAACCTTCAAAATCATTCACACAGAGGTAGAAGGCAAGGAGAGAGAGTCTGGGCTTAGGACATCATATCAGGAGAAGGGGACTGTAATTGGAAGCAGGGATGTAACAGAGACGGCTGTACAGACCTAAGGGTAGCAGGGGCTTCTCAAGGACTCTTGTTTAACGGACACCTGACAGGAGAGTAGTTCAATGGAGTTATTTCTATCCTATTTTGGTGTTCGGTTCGAATCAGTAGTGTTGTGTTCACATGTGACTAGAGACAGCACCTGGATGGCTGTTCCCCTGGGAAGAGGCAGTGATGCCCTTTGTCACAGTCAGTGAAGCCTGGAAGATGCTCACCTTTTGTGATGGTCGTGACAGCAGAATAGGCAGGTCCAAAAGTGGTTTCCATTCTCGTCTGAAACAGAGACAGGATTAACATCACCGAGGGCCCATCCAGCCAGACTGGGGCTGCAGTCCAGTTCAATAAACCACCGCAGGAGATTCCCAGCAGTTCCCAAGGCTTTATTTTCAAAGGCTGCACCTGTCAGAGGGTCCCTAGGACCATGTTTTCAAGCATCGTATTTATCCTCTCAAAAGTAAGAGATGAGAGAAGAGAAGACCGCAAGCTCCCCTCTCCCCAAAGGGAAGCAACCTGCGGCTGCCCCGGTCCTTACCCCGTTAGTGTTCTCGGAAGTAGTGATGCTTGTTGCGCCGCTGGAGAAACGATTGTAGCGAGCGCTCTTGTTTGAGCTCATAATCTAGCCCAGCATCGATTAGTCACGGGAAGTTTGCACTGTTAAAAAAGAATGAGCGTGAAGGTTAAGGGGGTTCTTGTTGTGGTTGTTTTTCTGCCCAGGCAAATGGCACCATGAAAACAGGCCTTGTAGTTCTCAGCTCCTTCCAACATACCCTGAACCTGCACAGTCTTATCCGTACTAATACAGGCCTCGTTTTGCAAAAGCAATGGGTAAACTTACTGCACCTCACTGGAGTCCACGTTTTAGGAGGGGGAGACACTTGGGCACTCTCTGGAACACCAGAAACAGCGGCACCCAAAACAACTAGCCATTTCTGAGGTCGCATTGGAGCACGGTTGTAGCCATGAAATGAGAGGCAAGGATTTTTGTGGGTGATGCCTTTTAATAGACCGGCTGCACAGCTGGGATAGACAGGGACAAGCTTTCAGATGCAGAGCATTCTTCTTGAGGTCTGACCTGAGGCTGGTCCAGTGAAAGGTATCACCCAACGTTTAAACGTGGGGGCTGACACTAACAGCAAATGCCTGGGTCTCTTCTCAGAAGCCAGCCCCCATGAAAACAGCATCCCACCCACAGCAATTCACAGGAGACTCTTTAGGAGTAAGAACGTACTCTGCTTTCTAGGATCCACTACCTGTGCCGTACAAACAGCACCTCAGAAATGCAGCCACCTCTGGGGTGGAGCATGGCAGCAAGTGCACAGCAAACTACACAACAGAAGGAGGGAGAATTTTGGCCAAGGACGTTGGGACAAACCTGATGTGACAGGGGAGCTTGTGTGTCCAGAGAGGGCAAACAGGACAGCCGGCTTGACCTTAGAGGGACCCTCATACAGCACCACACAAGGATCAGGCTGAGCCAGCCCTGCTGGGTTGGACATCCACAGACCAGGGATGCCCACATTTATTCTCCCACACCTTGGTGCCGAAGGCACCATCCCAATACAGACCAACACTCCACAGGCCCTCCCACCCCAGAGCTGTCGCTGGGAGGCACAAGATCAACCTGATCACATTGCCTCACTTCAGGGCCACCCAACGGCCAAGGGAGGGTCCCCTGGAAACCCGGCAACGTTCTCCAAGCTTCAGCTGGGTGGGAAGGAAGGGGGCTTGCAAAGGGGGCTTTCAAGATAACCTCTTTGCCCCAGAACTCCCAGCCCGACACCCGGTCAGTGCCAGGCCCCCCAGCTGCCTTGCAGTCAAGAAGAGCACAGTGACACAGGCTCCAGCCACCTTGTGAGAGCTTCCAGAGGACCTGCACGGCCCTGTGCCTTCCCAGGAGGAAGCAGGGCTGTGCCTTCAGCTCAGGCATGGATACGGCACTTGGCTTTCTTTACAGTTAAAATTAACCCCGCCAGGTCCTTTCACAGCGAGCTACGTAGGAAGGGCAATGGCCAGGGAACCAGCTGCTCCTCAACCTTTGTGATTTGTGGAGCAAGGCCCCAGTGCCTGCTGGAAATGTCAGGCAGGCCTCAGCCCTATTGCTGCTTCCCCCAGGGCTTCGTCCTCCTTTCATGTCTCTTAGTCAGTGGTTTGAGCTGTGTTGCTAGGTTAAATCCACAGAGTCAAACTTTTGCCCAGTAGTAATCCCTCGACACACCAAGTCTGCACCTTCTTGAACACCAGCAGAAGCCTGATCCTGCGTGGTTAGTTGAACACCTTGCTGGGGTCGTTTGACCCCAGTACTCTTTCCTGCCATGGCGGGGGGTCGGACTAGATGATCTTCTCAGGTCCCTTCCGACCCTAGAAACTATGAAACTATGAAACCTTGCGGGCATGGAACAACATCGGTGACTTAGCAAACACCACGTTTAACATGCCCTTCACACTCTGCTCATTTATGTGCTTGTTTCTTCTGTCTGCCCACAGGATGAAAACCAGTGGCAGCTGTCTCATCCCTCCAGTTCCAGGAGATAGGTGTCAGGTTTTGTCGTGAGAGTCAGGGTCCTGGTTTGTTACTACAGGTCGGGACTGGAGGCTGGGCTCCGATCCTGTGATCTGATGTGCATGCTCACAGGCAGTCACCAGGCCATGACCTTCAGGCAGGCTGGAAAATGGACTGGGCCTAGGTTGGTAACGGCAAGGTAGCTTGTGTGCTCTCCAACACCAAATCTTCTGTTCAGGAGGCACTGCAAGGAAAGCCCTTCATCATCCTTGATGCTGAGAGAAGAGAAAGGGTGGGTTCAAGTTCAGGACAAGTCATCCCTACCTACCCCCTATGAGTCACACGACTATGGAGAGAAGTCTCGCTGCCTAAAGGAGAAACTCCTCCCTCCCTGCTGCCGTGGGTCAATGCCTCTTGGGTGGAAGGGCACCAGCCCCTCTCCACCTGACGCCCACAATCTCTCTGGGTACAAATGGATGCATTAGCAACAAGATACCACGGGCTCTCGGAAATCACGTCCTTGACAAGTAACGAACAGCCACGTCGTGGAGCACAGCCACGCTAAGTCGGTAATGCAAATATCTGACAGGGATGGAGCAGCTCTGGGGGCTGGGAGCATGGCAGAGAGCTCCTCACCAGGTCACGCTCAAAGGCAGGTTGGTGGAGGATGTTGTCAGGCCTCTGATGCCTGCACGGATCCTACTGGCGTGACAGAGGCAGACTGCGGTGCTGCACATCAATGGCTGCAGGACTCAATCCAGTTTCACGGTGCAGCAATTTCAGCAGACAGAACACACATTTGGTGGAAGCTGTCCCGCCCTACTCCAAGCCAAGGGGTACCAGCCGCAGACGGCACGGGGGAGCCTTCACTGCTGGGTCTGCCCTAGGAAGAAGAAGGGACTTTGCATCTGAAAGGCACAACACTGAGGAAAGTCCCAGAGACGTCCAGCTTTGCACGAGGCATGGCTAAATCCTTGCGTTCCCTGGACAGGGCAGTGACATTCAGAGGCCTAGTGGGAGGCAGCATCTGACCGACAGCTGCATGGAGAAGGCAGAACTGTGCCTCACACCAACAGGCTGAGCATGCTTCACCAAAAAGGACCCTCACTCCTCATTTCAGGAGTGAGCAGGGAGGAGGAAGCAGCCTCTACGGCCAGCGACTGGCCAACGCAGGGTTTCTGGCCCATTTCTCAACAGCATCTGGTTCCAAGCCACTGGCAGAGACGTGACGCCGGACGAGATGAACCCTGCTCTAGCAGCTACTTCCCTCTCCAGGACTCACTCCCATCCTGGCTGAGATGTCAGGACCTCCGGGGCAGAGGCTGTCTTTCTGTCCTGTCTGTGATCTTAATGACGATGCTGAGCTTTTCTCTAGCGTTTTCCAACCAGAGATCCCACAGCACTTTGCAGAGGAGGTCAGTGGCACCCCCACATTACAGAGAAGAAAAGGAGGAGCAGATTAGGATTAATCTCCACGAGATCCCCAGCGAAGCATGGCACCCAGGTCCCAGTCCAGTGCTCCACCCACAGACCTCACTGGGCCCTGGCCCAGCCCTGCCTGATTGCAGAACACCCTTGTAATTCTGGATTCGCTTTTTAGAGGTTCCCTTGCAAGCAGGAGAAGCCTGCAGAGGCGTGGGGCAGCTTTACTGCCCCTTCTGCGCACGGGTCATCAGCACGGTGCTAGGGCATGCCTGGCCTGGTGCTCCCAACGGCCCTTTTATTGTACAACAATCATCCAGTCTGAGAGAACAGTTGTTTGGTCAATACCTGCTCCCCAGGAGTGAGCTGTGGCCTGAGGAACTGAGTGACCACAGCTGGCCTTGGAGACAGCCTCTTCCAGTCCTGCCAGAGCAGTGCCAGAGACGCTGGGCTGAGTGGTGCCGCTTTCAGAATAAGGGGAGTGAGAAGCAGGGTGCTGCGGCCATCCAGGGCCGCACAGGCAGGGCACTGCCTCGCGGCCCCGAGGAGCCGGCACTCCACCAGCAGGGCCCTCCTGGAGGGGCTCTGCAAGCACAAATACCGGGAGGAGAGGAGCAGGCAACAGGGGAGATGCAAAAGATCTGAGTTCCCCCGCAGGCTCCTGGGTGAGCCACGGCAGCCGCTACTGCTCTGGGCCCCACAGCCTGCCCACTGGCCAGTCTGCGGTGTGCCTTGAAGGCTTCTCGCACACCTGCTGGGTCCCAAGCCCTACCCAGGCTGGATTAACAAACAACACACCCTCCAGTGCATGCCTCCCCTGGCCAGGCCTTCAATCGCTTCCTGCTGGTGCGTGCAGAGAGGACAATGAGCACAGGGGAGCCTAGAGCACGAGGAGATCAAGCTGGGAAGCAGGCAACCCAAGAGCAGGCAGCGCAGCTGGGAAACTACCAGGTGACAGACTCACAGCCCGAGTCTGTTTGGTGCTCACTGGAAGCAGGAGCGTCAAGGAGGACATTCCCCTTCGTACGCCTGCTCCGAAGACCGCTGGAACAGATGGGCACTCTCCCAATGACCAAGAGCCCCTGCATCGTGTCCCAGAGCAGGAAGGGGCTGCTAGCGTAGGCTATGGGGTTCTCCACAATGCTTTCAAGCCACCCCCTGGGTGCAGCAGAGGCAGACCAAGGGCAGTCTGCTCCACGTCACCTCTGAGTAGGGAAAGAGAGGAAGAGGAGCCATGGAAGGAATGCTGGTGGCAGACAGCAGGCACCGCAGACTGCATTAGCTTTTGCCTCTAGCCACTTGACTCACCACGTATAGGAGAGATTTACCAGACACAACAGCATCCCTGGGACACATGCCCCCATGGCTCACCAAAAGCATCCGGGAATGTCCCTAGCTAAAAGGGAGGCGCACACCCGATGGAAAGGAGGGGCCATCACCAGGGATGACTACACTGCGGTTGCTCAGGGCTGAAGGGGGGGTCAGGAAGGCCACGGCAGAGATGGAACTGACACTAGCTTCCCGGATCCAGGACAATAAGAAGTCCTTCTTTAAATACACAGGGGGCAAAACGAAGGTACCGGGTAACGTGGGGCCCCTGCAGGACAAGCTAGGAAATTTGGTCGTCACACCAGATGACAAAGCTAACGTGTTTAACGATTTCTTTGCCTCCATCTTCCTAAGCAGGGACCAGAACAGCCACCCCCCGCTGGGCCCCCCTCAGGCCCCA